TCATCAACGCGTCACATTCGTCGAGGGAAGCTCGAGTGTGTGTTGTGCGCCGAAACAACCGTACGTACATTTGCATCAGCTTAACAAAACAAGCGATAATGCCCTTGCCTATCGAGCGCGGGATTATATTAAAAATTAGGAACACGCACACTGTCATCACAGACCGGTTTTGCTTCACCTCGAAGCGTCCCTCTCGAGAAAAAAAATCGCTGCCTGTGGCCACGGGCAGCACAAGTTGGGGATATGTTCGCGTACATCTGTCACTAACGCATTGCAATCTCGCATCGAGTTCCTTCAGGATCTCTGTTTGCGGTGTGTTCGGCAACTTCTCAAAGGCTGCCGCCCTGAATGCGTCGATCATGTGCAGGAATATGCCGTGTTCGATTTTGTGCATACAGTCTGGTTGCAATGCGAGGTGGTAATCTAGCTGAGGATCATCGCCACTCGGCCCCCTGTAGAACCCCCAAAGGCCGTTTTGTTCAACATGCCTATGCATGTCCAACTTCGCCATTCGCCCTTCCGCCACACGGCGCACGTCATCGTCGTCCGCCGTGAACACAGCTGCTGCGAGTTGAGTTTCCAGCGTCTGGGATCTCCTGCTTTCCGTGAAATCGGCCACGACATCGAGGTCCGTTTTCGTCACGGTGCATGTAGGGCATACACCAAACTTCACATTCGCCAGCGCACATCGCTCTGGGTAGTCCTGTATATAGTTGAGGAGGAAAGAGTGGACAGTCATATCCCCGAATCACGTCGACGGTATCGTGATGCTGTCGTGCGATGCCTCCTTCGCAGCTTGCAAGACCGTCGAAAGGGCCTTGTGGAAGATGACGGCCTTTCGCTTCCTGAATGCGGTGGACTGTAGACCCCATCCTTTGTCACGGGGTCGATGATGAAGCACGGGAAGATAGGCCAGCAGAGTGGCTTCCGGCGCGTGGTCGGCTAGCGACATCATAAGAGGGTATGTCGTCTGTTTCTGACGACCGTCTGTGTGTGTCTTGTCGGAGTACAGTGAGAGAGGGATTACATATCGTGAATATCCATTCTCGTCGACACCTTTGTGCGCTCGAATGATTGACTGCGTGTGATAACTGAGCGCCCCGCTGCGCGGACCGGATACACTGTTGTCCTCCGACGGCGGGGACACCTCGAGGGAATGAACCATCTCGCATTTCTGCAACGCGAAGTGCATTATCGATAAGAATGCAGTTCGCCAATCGCGGTGCCACAAGACGGCGTGCGCTTCTCGAGGCCAGTCGTCACTACGCAGATCCAACTCCTTCCACCCAGCGGCCTCTGCTAGACTGCCCGCCCATGCGAAGCACTCTCGACTGTTGCGGTACGCAATGTCCGCCGCGCTGAATCTCGGGTCTTTGAGAAGTGACAAGAGAGCATCAACGTTCATATGTGACATACCGACGCCGCCCCTGGCGGAGAAAATAAGCGCTGCTAGCCTGCGCGAGCTGTCAACCCGAGGGTTGTTCAAACTGAGGGGGAGGGAGAGGGATGTACAATGTGAGGGATGTACAGGTTGAGCAATCTATGTGTAGACACACCCACACAGGTTGTTTGTACAACAACTGTAATGCCATGTGCTATGCATTTGTGGCATCATCCCTGATGTCTGATGTGGTCTGTCGTGTTGTGTGGGTGTGTGTGTGTGTGGTGTCGTGGCCGAGCACTAACTATTGCGTCCCCTGTTGACAAGCCGGGGTGCAAAGTCTCTCCCCAAGCTGTGGCCACTGCGCCATGCAGGAGGCAGCTCAGGTTCAGTCCCCATGTCAGCGATGTTGCTAGCACAGCCTCTCTGTTCACCAGAACAAACCATCCCTTGCCGACACGTGACCATTTTTTTCCCTTGTTGCAGGATTGCATTATGCTGGTCACTGCAGCATACTGCATTGCGGCATCAGGTGTCGCCCCCTTGAACACCACACGCAGCACGTTGTGCGGATCGGGAAATACTCGTGCCAACCTGAGGATTGCATGTGCCCAACCTTTGGTTACTTGTCCACAGGCCGTCTTGAGATCGTAGTACACATCATTGTCGTCGTCCTCTTCGTCGCTGCTGACGTCGCTGCCGCTCACCTCCACGTCAGACCCCTCGTACTCTTCCTCATCCTCCTCCTCTGCATCATCTCTGTGCTCT